CAATAACTGCAGAACTGCGTATCCTTGGAAATTACCATATAATCATAATAGGTACTACCTTATACATACAGAGTGACAGAGACGTTGCGATGAATTTCTACAAGTGATTTCATTTGTAATAAAAAAAAAACAATTACTAAGATCTCTATGATAGCTCAATATTCATACATGGTACAGTGTAACCTAGTTTTCTTATAAAATTTAAGCAAAATTTGTCCTAAGTTTCAAATGTTAGAGAAAACTATTCAAAATGAACAAAAAAATTGGGATTTCTATTTGAAAAATTTTATACATTCTTTGATCGACTTGAAAGTGACAAAAATGTGAAAATAGTATATTGTGCAATAAATGCGGTAAGTTGTCTATTGATCACGAGAGCGGAGTTGAGCACACGGAGGAAGTGAGTTCGCTCATCCGCTCAAGTCGGCAATAGACAATCGCACGCATTGCACATACTATTTTTTATTACGAATGGAATGAAATCTTAGAGTCCAAGGGCGAAACCCCGGTGGGGTCCACATATTTTTATTCAGTTTAAGTTGACATAAATAGCTGTCATTTAAATGTCACTTTTTACAAATAATATTTTCGAGTATGTAGGTATTTAAATTTTGCGTGTTTTATTGGAAATTCGCGCGCGACATGTAAATTACCGCACGCAAATAAATAGAGTGGGCAAACAGCTAGTTACAGACCTAAAAAACATGCGAAAATATAGGACTTATTCGTCATGAGTAATAAAAACAATTTTTGGAATTGTGCAAAGATCAAAAGTACTGATCTATGTATATAAAAACAATTTTTGTCATTTAAAAATATAATTGCAATATACAGAATATACCAATCTCCATTTTGCATGAATCTACCACAGAATCTTGAAGTGAAAATAACATAAATTCACTAAATTTATCTCTATTCAAAAATGCTACTATGCTAACTATTAGGAGGCGTCAAGTTGGTAAAAAAATTCAGTTTTTTTTCCAAATAACTTAAATGCTTTATACGATTTAAGTGAATTTTGGTTATTAGTAGTTGCATATCGCTATGACTTTCTTTCATGTGTATTTCCGAAGTAATACTAAATGTGTAGAAACGAGGAAAATACAAATATATTTTTCCCAAGTTTTTTCGTAAACAAGGGACAATTTCAAGCTTTCTCTGTTTTGTAAAGTTTTTTTTTTGCTAACGGTTTTCAAAATTATTTTATTAATAATCACCAACGCATGTTTGATACAAATCTAATTTCATTCCAACTTAATTTATCTCTCAATAAAAACAAAATAATGGTTTGTAGAGTTTCTTATTGAATGTTTTTTCACAAAAATGGTTGAAAATGATTAACGTTTTTAATAAAATCAATTAATAGAGGTTTTGTTTGTGAGAAAAGTACTAGTAGCAAACGGACTGTGCTATCATATAAAAAAACAGTCTGTAGATATATATTTATATGTTTCCTACTCCAATTTACTATTAATTAATTTTTTATAAACATTTCTATGCAAAAAACAAAGTTTTTTAGTTTTTTGCTTATAAAATCTAAACTTACAAAACAATCTGAACGCTATAAAGAGACAGTTTGTAGAGAACTTAAATACGAATAAAACGAGAGGCCCATCTTCTATTTCTAATTAGAAACGAAGAAAATCCGGAAAAATCGGATTTTTTTTTTAAATCACTACTCCACAATTTTTTAAGTTGTAGACCTGATCCTGTGCACAAAAGTAATGAATTATATGTACTTTAAGTGTGCATAAAGGCGCTGTCGGATCATTAGTTTTGGCACAATTATTGCATTTGAATTTTTTGATGTCCCGATCTTTCTCCACTACTCGACCGCGTACGCGCGCTCGGTCGTTTTTGAGCATGTTTGGAGGAATTTTTCACCTATTTTGCATTCATTTTATAGGAAAATTAGGGTATACGTTTTGTAGTATTATATATACTTTTAAAATCCGCCTGCAAAATTAAAATCGGTCCACCTCCAACGCATCCAGAAATTTTGCAAAATAGTGCACAAAAAAATTCAAATTGCAATCGTGCCAAAACTAATGGTCCGGCAGCGCCTGCTTTGTGCACACTTTAAGTATATATAGTTCACTACTTTTGTTCACGGGGTCAGTTCCACAACTTAAATATTGTGGAGTAATGAATTAAAAAATAACGCTAAATTTTCCGATTTTTCCGGGTTTTCTTCGTTTCTAATTATCCGATCGGATCGATCGACTTCTCGTTTTATTCGTATTTCGATTCTCTACACATTGTCTCGTTATAGAATTTAGATTGCTTCGTTAGTTTAGGGTTTATAAGCAAGACTAAAAAAGAATGTGTTTTTTTGAATAAATATGTTTATAAAAAATTATAATTAACGTTAAATTGGAATAGGAAACATATCTACAGATTGTCTTTTATATGATAGCACAGTCCATTTGCTACTACTATTTTTGTTACAAAATCACAGATTTAATGCTCTATTGATTGGCCTATTTAGGTATAAGAGGAAAATCTTTAATGCCATACACTTTTTGTGAACTGTCAGTTAAAAGTTTCTGGATTTATTTTGCATTACAATTTGTTTATTGTTTATTTAATTGTATATGCATGCTGTTCTTATTTTAAGAGATTCATAATTACGAAAATTCTAGCTAAAATACATTTTTATGATAAACAAATCAATTATTATGTTTCAAAAATTCGTTCGTTGTGACAACAAAATAATTATGTGAAAACCGTTCAATACATAAAAATATTAGCAACAAGAGAGAAAAAAACTTGAAAAAACCCACTATCTTTATGGTAGAATATGGACACCTGTTAAAAAATATTGTAATATTTGGTGGCTCAGTCAGGGGAGGCATAGAAAATATAATCCTAATTTAGTTATAAATCGTCCATATTAAAGTCTAAGCAAAGTATGTACTTTCTTTAACATTTTAATTCGAAAACATAAACACTGTGTCTTATGCGCAAGTATGAAAAATATTTACGCGCTAGTGCCAAAAAGTTAGATTTTACATACTGTATACAGGTGTGTTTTTAATAGCAGGTACAATTCGTGATGTAAATTAATTCAGTGAAACTTATTTTTTAAAATTACAATTGATTATAGATATATTATTTTATTGATCTGATCTAGAGTTCGGCGCGGCGGGCGCGTCTTTTGACAGAGCCGCACTGGGTTTACTTTCCCAGTTTTGATTTTAGTACTTTGCTAGATTCTGTTTCGGCTATTTTATTTCAAACTGTAACAGTTTGTAAGCAAGTTGTAGTCAGTGTTTGTATTAATACGTATTCCAGCCATTCGCATAATAAGTAAAAAACAAATGAAACTCAAGTGTAGATAAATGATCACAAGCCATGTTACCGTCAACCGTAGGCAACCAACATTTCACGTCTGGTACTGTCAACTAAAAATCCCTAAAACTTAGCGTCACCGTTATTAGTAATTCGTATACAATGAACAATGACAAACCGTTACGTCTGTGCTCGAGATAATGTGATCGCTGTTGGTTGAATAAAATCTACTGAAATATTGTACTAATCACCAGCTGGTGAATGTTATGATTTAATGCTATCTTGCTCTTACTGTTTTAATAATTTTTAATTTTACTGTTCCAAAGTGTTCGAGTTATAGAAATTATAAAATTCTCGACAAAACAGGAATTACATATTCCAATGTTTACATGGGTGCCCATGTTTTTCGTTATCTTTCACTGCGAAAAATTAAAACAGTTCTTGTATTTCACCATTTCTATAGTTTAGATGGATTTTCTCGCTCTATCATTGTCTTAGTAAAAGTGCGATATCTTGTCTATAAAACGCTAGTCCTAAGCGCGTTTAAGTAAATTTAATTGATAATTTTTGTGAGCTGTAGGGATAAAGACTTGTTATTTGGTTTTTGATATATATTATATGTTCTAAAACTGCACGGCTGCTTAAAATTAATTAGCTACTGATAACGATATGAATTTAGGGAAAATACAAACTTACAACAATAGAATGCAGGAGCTAAGCTATAATAATAATAATAATAATAATAATGTGCCTTTTTTATCATCTAATACCCACGGTATGTATAGGTAATGGCAATGGCAATGGAGGCTAATGTTATGGAAATATTGTACATTGATCTGAATACAAGTATATCACTTTTATCATGAAGCTATTTACGAGTCTACTTAAGTAGATTATAGCTTAATGATAAAAACACATTTTATTACCCACCTGTAATTACTTAATAATTTATAAAATTACATATTATTATTAGTATATATAATGTCTGCGATAATTACAAATAAAAAATTTATTAAATCATCTTCTGATAATGACTGCAATGTCATATACATATACAGGGTGTCCCGGTACTTGATACAAAAAAGTCGAGTACAAATAGATGAGGTCAAAATAATATCAGTTCTTCATATAATTTTTTTCTTACGGGCCTTCGTTAACAAGTTACGGGTCCTCAAAGGTGAAAATTAAAAAGTTATTTTTATTTAGTCTCTAAACTATTAACTTCAGCATGATGCAAATTTGCTGATCGATAACACATGCGTACAGCTTGTTTTTGATGTTGTAAGTGAAACTCACAGTCCGTCCCTGGCGTTCTGGGCATAATGAAGTTTGACAAGTTCAAAAACAAGCTGTACGCATGTGTTATCGATCACCAAATTTGCATCATGCTCAAGTTAATAGTTTGGAGACTGTAAATAAAAATTACTTTTTAATTTTCACCTTAGAGGGTCCGTAACTTGTTAACGAAGGCCCATATGAAAAAAAAAATATATGAAGAACTGATTTATTTTGACCTCATCTATTTGTACTCGACTCGACAAGTACCGGGACACCCTGTATAATTAGAAAGTACCGTCTCTAATATACGTTTAGTGCAAACCACTTTGTATCCTTAGCGATAGTTTTACGGACTCACTATGTAAATGAATAATAAAACATTATTAAAAACAGAAGCCCCTAGAGTAATGTGAATGTAATTTACATTATAGATTTTATATTAACGTTAATGTTCAACTACCAGTATTGGGCCAGTGGAGATGCCTTCTGTGATAAAACTAATGTATAACACCGACTACATTACCTGAGACTAGTTAACTTTGACAGTCGGCGGGAAGAAGTTGTCAAGAGCCCAACTTGAGTCATACCCGTTGTTAGTTATGGTGTTTAAGCACGCGTACCTGTTACCTGTACTGTTCGCTCTGTTGATGCCAGTAACTTTTATCATAACGTGAGTAATTTAAGATATCCCACTATAAAATCTACATTAACGTTGTATTTACAGGTACACCAGTGCCGTTTTAAATCAAAATGTGAAGCCGGTATTCCCTTATATCAGCGATACCGGAAGTTGGTCACCGGAAAGCTGCATTTTCGGGCTTCTGCTGACTTTTGGTGCATTGTTACGTAAGTGTTATCTTATTGACTTAGTTCACGGGGTTCCGATAGATCAATATTGCATCGTAAATATTTTAGTAGTCTGTAGGCCAAGCCTTATTGTAATCTATTTATGAAGAAAGACATGAAATTACTTCTCCGATAGATTTAATTGTTTGATTGATTTCTAATGGGGGTAAAACTTTTGTTTTAGGTTTTAAGGTAAATAATTTACAATATAATTTTATAACGGTTTATTAAATGTTTTTATTTGCAAGGTTTTAGATCCAGCAGTAGGTAAACCAGAAAATTAATGAAAAATATAGCTAGTGTTAGTTTATACCAAAAAATTTTAAATTTTATACGTTTACTCAAATATTGCCAAAGACGTTTATATACATTGATAAAAGTTGACTTAATTAAAGGAAAAAATTCGCAGAATCTCTGTCATACTGAAAGTATATGTCGATGTCGATATCCCAAAAATTAAACGTCACTAATTTGAAAATATTTAATCCTAATGCTATTTCTAAGAAAAACTTAGAAATTTGAAAAATTAATCTATTAGGAATTATATTTTTTTAAATATTGCGAAAATTGTTGGTTTGAAGAAAGAAAAATACAGGAATTATGATAAGTGCAAACAAAATCACAGGCGTAGAAGTTTTAATTTTTTATTGGTTATAAATAATTAGAAATTTCTAGGGCAATTATTTATTTTGATGTTTGACAGTTGCACTGTATGGAATATGTATAGGGTTTTTAATATAGTGTCCATCCAGTATTACTTCTACTGATTGAAAAAGTTATTAGCCCAAATTTTATTATCATTTAAGTACATTAAACATTTTCAAACATATTCGAATAAATATAATTTTTTTCAACTTCCTCTCGAAAATTTGTGATTTTTAACTCTTGCTTTCTAATATTTTTTCATCTAAAATCAGCCAAGGAACAACCTCCTGAAGTTACTACCTTAGAAAAAATAAATTTGCACATTTTTGTGAATAATAACTTTGAGCAGATGTTACGCGAGCTTCTTAACTAAAGGAACGCACACAGTTATGGAAATCGGCAACCCGTCAAAATTGTCTGAAAATGAAATATGTTATAGTTTGAAATGTCCTGATCAAAAGTTGTTAAGATCCCAAGACCCAAAAATTAATACTTATCGAGATAAGGGACATTGAAAATTGAAAGTGAGCGTATCTTATCGCGCTTATACACAGTCTTTTTTACGGAAAACCGTATGGCTCTTTCCTTCTGTATGCTCCCATTGTATTTTCTCTTTATGCCTTTTTACTTTACGCCCGCTATTTTAGTGTACACCTGCTCCTTTACTTTAAGCCCATTTGATTTACTATTACTGTTTTACTGGGGTTTTGCCCGCTTATTTTTTACATTACGCCTGCCATTTTCAGTCCTACTTCTTTTATTATACACCCACTTGTATATTACGCTCACTTTTTTACTTTACGCCTGCATTTACGCCTTTTTTTTTCTGTAGGACTGTATTTTTCTCTACGCCTATTTTTCTTACTTANGCCATTTTCAGTCCTACTTCTTTTATTATACACCCACTTGTATATTACGCTCACTTTTTTACTTTACGCCTGTATTTACGCCAATTTTTTTCTGTAGGACTGTATTTTTCTCTACGCCTACTTTTCTTACTTACCGTCTGCTTGTTTTTACTACACGACCGCTTACTTTTACTATATGCAATTTTTTTGCTTTACGCACGTATCTTTACTTTCCATCCGCTTTTTTCTTTGTGCATGCATTTACATATGACATTTTTGTCCCGCTTGTTTTATTAGACACGTGGTTGTTTTTATATTACGCAAGTTTTTTTACTTTACGCTCGCTTCTTTACTTTCCGCCCGTTTTTATTACTTTCTATTCTCTTGGTTATTCTTTACATCTGCTTTTTCCATTTCACTTGCCATTTTCTTTCATTATTCCTGACTTTTTTGCTTCTTGACATATTTTTGCTTTATGTCCAATTTTCTTATTTAAGCTTTTTTCTTTACGCCTGCGTTTTTTATTCCTTCCAAAATCCTCTCTGTTTTGAGAGGAAGGTGCCACATGCGAACTCGCCTTGTTTCCGTCAGTGAGACAGAGATAGAGAGAGAAGAGCCATACGGTTTTCCGTAAAAAAGACAATAGGTCTGTTCCAACATGAGTCAGGAATTGGTTCCGAACCGTTCGAAATGTGCATTCAACTAATTCTTGCGATATATTCACTGAAGACAAATTTAGAACTTAGCTGGCCAAACATTTCGAACGATTCGGAACCAATCCCTGACTCTTGTTGGAACAGACCTTATGTATACTTAAGAGCGATGTGACCACAGATCAAAAAAAGACATAGATACATAATTTATACCTATGTGGCTTGAAGCCAAAATAATTCATCGGAAGGGTGAGGAAGTTGTGTTTACATTCCCTCATGGGCAGTGGCGTATCATTTTATTGGGGCTGATTGCAACTAAAATAACAAGTTTAATAATTATAATTGTAAATTTTATTTTCCGCAGATAAACTAGGGAAAATATGGTGTAATAGGTATATTAAGAAAGCGTGTTTTATTTCTTAAGGTATCTATGAGATTATTTAACTTTTCTTCAACCTATTTTATTACTTATGAACTCCACAGTCCCCTATATTTACTTCTTCCTGGAATACGGTTGAGATGATCTACTGACACAATTTTATGATTTTCACGAGATTTTAACGAAACAAAGTATTTAAATTCCATTTGGGTAGGTATATCCTAGTTTTAATTTTAATAGCTTATGACACGGTGTAAAATTTGGTATCAACTCTTACATAGAATTTATAAAATTTGTATATAGGAAACTAAAAGATTGACCATATTTTAAAATGATAATTCATTTTTATAGAGTCGGTCCATTAACCCTACCTATCACAAACACATATATGTGAATTTATATAAAAAACTAAAAATTAGAACAGGTTTAAATATATATTTTATATAGAATTACATGTAGATTTTTACATTGCGTGTTACGGCTATATTACTGGAGTTAAAGTTTGTCCCTAATAAAGCTGTCAATTGGTTTATTTTTTAGGTTGTCTCTATCGAATGAATGTTATGAATGAAAAAAGACAACCATATTACTCAAATAGAAATTTATTGATTATGAAATAATATATTTTTTGTTAACTTATGCTTTATCCTAAGAATATTATCCTGCATTTTATTACAAAAGTGGTCAGAGCATATATAGGTATATATTTATATTGTTTCTGTATATGGAATTCTTAAGCTTCTAAACCACTGTCTTCTAATTAGAAGATTTTTCGGAATTCTGTAACATATAAAAAAATCTATTAAATGTTTTACGCCTTGGTTTATCTGATTTACTAATGCTTTTTGGCACTTAAATTTTGTCAAAGCGAAATATTTAAATTTAACCCCAACAGCTTGTTTTATTGCTACGTCTATGATTATTGTTACTTATGGAACGATCGTTGATTTTGTTTCATTTGGTACATATTGCAAATATAGCACTTCTTCGGCATTGTTCAACACTTTTTTCACTGGAAAAAATCTTACTAATAAGCACGAAATCATTAAAAATGCAAAAACATTAGATTACACTACGAAACACAACAATGGCGAACTCGAATTTTCTGGAAAATGTCAAAATTTGAGCGTAAAAGTGGCGCGAAACTTAAATGAACCAATCACAACACGGGGAATAGTAAATATAAACATGAATCATTTGAGATTCAAACAAATACCCTGAATTATTTATCTATGTCTTTTCTTGATGTCTTATCTCGATAAGTATTCATAGTTGGACCTTGGGCCCGTATCAACATTTAATCAGGACATCTCGAACTAAAACATATTTCATTTTCAGTCTATTTTACGGGTTGCCAATCTCCAATAACTGTGTGCGTGGTCCTTTGAATATTATTATTTCCGAAATAAGGATCTATAATTAAATACCTATTCAAATCAATTTCTGAAGTTAACAAATTTTTATAAAATTGTATTAAAGATATATGTTTCATTAGATATCTTACGAACTCGGTATAAAGTTACATTACTTTATTCATATAAATTAAATTTCCATATTAGATAAAACAAGCACTAAATATAGGCACTATTTCAAAAATTTTGCTGGATATAGCTGGAAACTTTATTTAAATATTTTTTTAGCAGGGTATTTTGTAACTTTTATTGAAATTATTCTCAGATAATACAGAGGTATGAGCAACAAATTAAGTAACGGTCCTTCCCATGAAAATAACGACACAACGAAGTTACATCACCACAAAGTTATTAATTTTAAATATTTCTCTACAAAGCGATTCTTTTTAAATTTGGTACATTTATTATTGGTGGCCTTTATTTACAAAAAAAATTGATAATATTTTGGTTTGTTGTTCTCCAAAAATGTAAATAGGTAAGTAGGTACCCGTCATTTCCATAAAATAACTATAATTTATTTAATTTAACATTTGGCATCATACAGAAACTTAACTATTGTTATTTTTGTTTTTGTCTGCTTGGTAATTCCATAACAGAGCGATACCATTTAAGAAGCGTATTTCCCAAAACACTTAAGAAAGAATTCCTGTATGTTACGAAATGTTATACGATGTTTTTAATTTTAATTAGAACAGTGCTTTCAATAATAATAATTATAGCAAGGTATTATTTAAAAATACAAAATACAAAACATAAAACACAAATTGTAAATAAAGAACGCTGCCAATCTAACAAAGGTCGGTAACATTCAACACGTAAATACACTATGAGTATACCGAGTGGGCCAGAAAAGAAAGTGCGAAGGAAATTATGACAGTTTCTTGGAACTGTAACGTTGAAACGTATTTCTGAGTCCACAGTGAAATTATTTGCAAAAGATATAGACACAAGTAACACCAACAATCTGCCAAAAAGTCATTTATGACAATTAGTTTGAGTACTGAATAAATTTTTGTATTGTCATACTTCATGTTCAATTGTAATATGATTTTATGTAACACTT